TGAGCCAGTAGCGAATAACCAAGTAAATTCACTTTTCTTATAACTTATACCCCCGCCATAGCAAACCAAATGAACTCCACTTAGGGGGACTTACAAGTAAGCCTAACTCACCAACTAACTTGACTTACGACTTAGAAGCCAGTTGAGCCACAATCAAAACCTGTGTAGATGAAGGTTAGTAAGGGGCAATCCCAACCATAAATAGCTGCGGATATCCGCCTTCCTAATTCTTTACATGGTTTTGGGTAGACAATTTTACTACCGGGTTTTGATTATGACTCAGTTGGGCTTACAACTGAGCAGCCCAACACATCCCAGGAACCTCACGCCTTCCGAATGGCCAGGTCCCCTAGCAGGGCTCGAGCCAGAGGAGCTTCTCAAATGTGGCGGCACTCAGATGCCTCGCGAGTCGCGAGGGAAGACGTGCCCGATTTGAATGGTCGACCGTCAAGAAAAAGTGGAATCCCTCAGGGGGGGTATGTGGGGGTAGGTACAGGGGGTTGAGCAGTTGAGAGCCCTAGGGTTTGTTGGGGAGCCTCCCCTTTCGGACCTACTCTCCCACCAATCAACATGCAACCGTTCGACGTTCGGGGAAGTGGTCCTAGTTTGGACCATGTTCCTTTTAAAGGGACCTTAACATCGAACTTCAGGTTCCATGTAAAACGGGTGGGAGGGTACTGTGCCCGATTTGAAGGGTTGACCATCAAGAGAGAGAGAGAGGGAAGCAAATAAAACAACAATAATAAAAGCAAAAAAAGAGAAGCAAACGTAGAGGAGATGGTTCCCTTGAGTCCCAGTCCCAGGGATATATTTTTGTTGAACCTGTGCCCGCCGACCCCCGGGCGGGGGCGGTTTTTGTTTTTGGTTTCCCGGGTGCTCGAGGCTTGCAGCCGCGGGCGGACCAGCCCGGCTGCGCGGAGATGAAGGCGGAGGACTTCCGGAAGGCGGCGGAAGCGGGAGCGAGGGGGTCGCCCTTTTTTTTTTCAGGTGGGGGGGGACGAGACGTGGGATGTTCTAGGGGTAACTTCCCCATTTCCGTTTTTTCCATCCAGGAGGGTTGATCCATCTTTTCCATTGAGACTAGTCTTTCAGCTGGGGGGGATCCAATGAATTATAGCGACCTCACACGACCGAATTCACCCCAAATGGTGGTTTATGTGGGGAATATCCCTACCACCGCAAGTTTCAGGTTGGTGAAATATGATAATTCATCTAGAAATGGGATGTGTGTCTTTTGGCTGCCCCCCGAAAGTGTGGGGGTTCCAATTCCTTTGAACTCAAGCAACAGAAGAGTGCCCCTTTTGTCCCCATGGAAATCCACTGGGAACCGGGAAAGGATGTTCTAGGGGTAACTTCCATTTCCATTCTTTCCAGAAAACCAACAAAAACGCGGGGAATTCCTGGGTATGTCTAAGGGCACCCAAGCTTCCAGACGCATAGACCCATGAAGCTCTATACCTCTGGCTCGGGGGTGTAATCCAAGTGCATTTCGCCCTTGTTCATACCGGTTCCTCGGCTTTCCCGGGCTACCTAGCCACCTTTTTGAACATTTTGGGGAGAGGGGTATGAACATCGGCAGGCGTTTTGGGTTCATTTGCCCAAGGGGTACGTACAAGGGGGATGTAGGCCCGCGCAGGGTCGCCTTCTTTTTCAGCGTGGGGGGGGGACCACATGGGATGTCCTAGGGGTAACTTCCAATTCCATTCTTTCCAGGGATCCAGGAGGTGGGTTTATCAGTATTTCCATGTTTTTTTGTTTTAGACTGGTCTAAAAAAGAAACAACTAGACTAGTCTTTCAGCTGGGACCCTGGAAACCTCTTCCCACAGAAAGCTGGGGCTAGCCTCTTTTTCAAAGTATGTGGCAGTTTTTGCGATGGTCCCCCAGCCTTTGACCAACTTGTTTTTTTGGTTGGGAGGGTTCCCCAGCTAAAATAGAATAAAACCGAAAAAAGAAACGGTACCAACTTATTCTAAGCTCTCTACTGGAGGACCTAGTCAGTCGGGGGACCACATGGGGATGTTCTAGGGGAAACATCAAATTCCATTCTTTCCAGAGATCAAAATCCCTGGCGAAATGGCGATCGGTTTTTGGAAAAGAACGATGGCTGAAAAGAATGGGGAATCAACCCCTAGGGATATGTGTTTTGTGGTTGCCCCCCTCCCCAAAAGGATGTTTTTTGGCCCCCCCAAAACAGGACCAAGAAGAGCATTGCAAAACACAGGTAGCCCGTCAGGTTGATGATTTGGATTGGTGGTTACCAAGTTGGATTTGAACCCCTGGTTCCTTAACCACCACAACACCGGGCTCCAAACCACCAATTAGAGGGAAACTGATTGATGTGGTGTGGTCTAAAAGGGAAACCAAAAAGGACAACCAAAGTCCATTTTTTTCGGGGGGCAACCTGAAAAAAGACAGAACCAAGGATGCTCAAAGAGGACATGCACTTGATGGCTATTTGGGAGCGGATCTTTGGACTTTAGCTGTTTGGTTGAAACAGGTCGGTTTCTCCATGGGACCCACAAGCTTAACTTTTTGCAGATGGGGTCAACATCAGCCAAGCCTTGTCAGACGTTAGAAAAAGGAAGCCAATCAATCCGAACATGGGGTGGGGCCCCCACTTGTGACACACAAAATGATTGGAGCGAAAGAAGCGTTGGCATTGGCTGTGGCAAGGGTGCGAGCTTTTAGTCGCTTCTCAAGCACAAAGCCAAAAAGGGAACCTACCAGCCCAGACACAAGCCCCAACATGCATCCCAGTTGTTCGGGTAATTTCCCCCCCCCCCCCCCTAAAAAGCGCGTCTTTTGGTGGGTTCCCCACTAGAAATGATTTGGCCCTCCCAAACATATATTCCTTTTTCCCACCTCTCGACCAGGCTTTTGGGAGAAAGGTGATTTGCGGATATGCCGCGGGTCATGTCAATGTCACCATCCCAATGGGATTCCATGAGCGTGCTGCCATTTGGATACTGTGTGCCTTTGGGTGTGCCTCCGTTCGACAAATAAACCCTTGGTTGATCAATTGGGGGTGTCCCCTTTTTGGGGATGACCACTTTGGGAGGAACACCCGCCTAATAGCACAGGTTCTGCTGAGATCCCTGATCAACCTTAAGCTCCGGAAAAACCTGCGCAGGTCGAGACTGTGGTTGTGGACCCCGCAGCTTGGACTTCCTGCTTGGGTCTGGCCGGTTGCATGTCACAAGTGTAGAAAGCCGTGCACCAGGACGCTTCTGCCACGTTCCGCACAGAAGCAAAACAAACATGGTTTGCCTTAATTAGTCCAGCACCCCCCCCCAAGAGCTGTTTTTTCCCATGTCCAAAATTCCAAGGTATCACTTGAGTGGTAAACTTTGTCTGTTGGCCAAGTCGCTGTTTACGTGAGACTGTTTGCGTGAGACGTTGCCTTGTCCCTTCCGCGCATTTTTTATGTTTGGGCCCTTGCAGCGTCCTGGTCTCCAAGCTGCTGGAAATTCTGCCGAAAGTTGGCCCACAGCCCCGTTTTGAGCGTGCATTTGGGTTCGCGTCCATCGGAATTCCTGTCGGCTTCTTTGACTTTACGATGGTCAAGGAGCACTTCAATACCGAAGAGGGCTTTGCTTTGGTTTCCCGGTTTCCCCTTAAAACCAAACCGGGGGTTCCCTGAAAAACGACGGCACGCCATGTTCCGATGCCTGGTCGGAGTCCAAGCCAAAGTCAAAGTCCGCCTCGAGGATGGCCTGCTCTGGGACATCCAGGACCTGACGCATTTGCAGATGACCGAATCCTCATCGCAGCAGAAGGGTGTTTCTGAACCAGTTCCATGGTTGTTGGGACGCATTTTACGTTCTTGCTTTTGTGGTTTGGTGGGAAATCCCCACTCAACCACTAAAAATTAAGTGTTTGCTCCCCTTCCAACGTCAACCAAGGTTCTTTCTAGGGCTTCATTCATCCCAGCTGGTGTGGGATGTTATCCATCCACTGTAGTTTCCTGTTCAAGCATAGCCCTTTTAGATGATCTGGGGGGGGGGTCATGTTTGAATTGAAGGCGAAGCCTAGGAAGGCTGATGCTTGACGGAATGACAAATACAAAGAACCCTTGGGCCAACATGGAAGCCACCACATAGATGTTTCTCGGTATCACCTGGTGAGCTTCTTTGGACTTTGCTTTCTTGGAAGGCCTTTTTGGTGGCAATCAAATGCAATCAAATATGTTTTTGCCAAAAGGAACCCATGGATCTTCAGAGACTTCGAGGGACAACTGTTTATCAACTGGTGCCTGGTGTGGATTAATTGCCCATGAGCTTGGATTTCGGGCACCGGGTTTTTCCGGGTCCCGGGTATGTGAAAGGGGTACATTCTGTGGACCCAGAACCCGTTCACACAAGGCTTGCTTCACTTGCCAGGAGGCGGAGGCGAGCGTCAAGCATCATGCCGCCACCTACTTGAAGGAGAACGAGCCTTGGATCCCAATGGACATTGAACGGGGTCTCCAATCTTACGGTGTTTGGGCAGGCTAAATATAGACCAGAATCTGAAAGGCATACTTGTCGTAGGTGTATTCTTAGCCAAGTTGATGGCCCACAGATTTGGGTTTGCGTGAAGCGAAGCCCAAGGGACTCTTTTGGGAGCAACCCGTCATAGGTGATACGATGCGCATAGGCCCGAATACCTGGCCCCCAAATCAACAAACCAGCATGGGGCCCAAATAAGAGTATGAGGCTTAAGGGGTATCCCAACAGACAATTGTTCTAGAAATGGCGGACATGGTGGGTTACACCTTTAAAACATACGAGGATCGTTTTTCATGTTGGCGGAAGCAAATATTGTCCATCGGTCCATGCCACATTCGGCTTGTCGGCTGCCAGCTTGAGGTGGCCTTCATCAACACCCTGCTGGTGCCTTGGCTTGCAAAAGGCGGCAGCCTCCTGGCCGGGACTCGGATTCCATCTCCAATCAAAACGTGGACCGGCCTGGAAAGGCAACTCAAAATCTGGTTGGTTGGTTGGTTGGTTGGTTGGTTGTTGGGTTGGGTAGTGTAAAGGACAGAATATGAATAGAATAGGGTTGGGTGGTGCCAGAAGACCAAACTAGGTCATTGCCATGGGGGTCTCTCATGCGTGGTGGTTTAGCCACTCGTACACCCCCCTTTTTGGGGCGCTAGAAAGTTCAACCTGACATTGGGCACGTAAGGGTTCCTGCCGGATAGGTCGAGCATCGCGCAAGCGAACGAAGTCGCGCGAGCTTGTGCTCAGCTCAAAAGATTATGGACTGGGCACATGCGTGTTTTTCTCCAGCGGACCCACTTGAATCAAATGTAAGCGACGAACTCCGTGGCTGCCCGCGGACTCAGGCCGCAGGCATGCGCGTGGTCATGTGCGACAGCCTCAACAAGCAGCTCACAAGGCTTCGGCTGACGCACAACTTGAGGAAATGCAACCCGGAAAATGGTTGGTCTCATAGGCGTCCTTTTTGGTTCTTTGGGTCGAAAAATAGATGGCCCTGGTTTACGTGGTGGTTTAATCATCTACCAGGGCCATCTATTTCCCCTAAAAGGACACCTATGGTTGGTCTCCTTTTGCCTTCCAGAAGAAAATGGGAGCCCAAGAATCCATCAGTAGAGGAGCTTCCTTCTGAAGAACCCACCGTGTTCTTCCACTTGGCGTGGGGAGGGGGAATCCCCTTCTTCAGCAGTTCAAGCACGGCTCGATCAATTCGCAGGCAAGGCTTCAAGGAGCGGTTGAAGGAGAAGGGCATCTCGGAGACCTGCCAAGCCCGGGGAACCCAACAGAGCGAAGTCCAGATGCGAAAGTGCGAGAGGGAATGAGACATGCCATGAACCTGGGGATCCCCTAAAAAAACCACCAGTTGCATGGTTTTGGGAAGGAGACATGGAATGAACCTGCAAATTCCCTTCAAGAAAAAAACAAGTTGGATGGTTTTTTCCAGGGGTCGTTCCCCGGTTTTGTAGGGAATGAGAAATGGAATGAACTGGTTGTGGTCGGATTCCCGAATAAAGGAAACCACCCGCGGGATGGTTTTTTTCCAGGGGTCATTCCATTTCTCATTCCCTGCCGATTCCGCACCAGCAAGAAAAACTCGGCTCCCCAAATCGAATAAGCAATCCCGGATGTTCAATCGACGTTTGGGGCTTACCCCGAAGAATCCCCGATGGACAATAGGCCGCTTGGGTTGCCATTCTGGGAAGCAACAGGTTATTGGACTTTTGTGGTTGCCAATTTGCTCAGAGAACACACACTCAGTGGCAGTGATCGATCTCGTCTTCGCCAGACTACCGCTTGCCACTACGCAGTTTTGCGCGTTAGCCCAAAGGGAAAACGAGGAGAGAGGGAATCCACCCGAAACTTTTTGCCGCACTTATTTCACCAGTTTGTGGTGATTTTCAGGATCTAAAAATTGGACATCCTGGGCTGACTGAGCAACTCTGCACTAAAGGGCGGGGTTGGTTCCTGCTAAGCGACTGACAATATTTTCTAGGGTGGTCTGATGCAAATCGCTTGAGTCGAGGCGAACCCTTTTCCTGAAAAAACAGCCTGGGGTCGTTATATGTCACTTTGTAGGGAGCCCTGGAGTAGTTTGTGCCGTCCTTTCGAGGCTCAGGAGAGGAGGCGTCTGGTGAGCCATGCTTGAAGATAGTTTCCCCCCAGCAACAACTCGTTGGACTGTTTGTCAGGTAATCCACTCGTTTGGCAGTGAGACCCTTTTCGACCATCGTGGAAAATTGGTGTGTAGGGCCACTTTCTGTAAAGTGACAAGATCATAGGGATGGCCCACTTTTGTATCAAAAGACTTATTGCCCACTGGGTTCCTTAAAGGATGTGATAAACCCCATTCCAATTGTTTAGGCTCCTACTTGGAGTCTCCATAACCCTTGAAAAATGGGGTCACGTCTTTTGTTTGGTCAATGACCCTATTTTCTAAGGGTTATGGACCAATGGAGAGTCCAGTTTTTTTTCAAGAAGCCTGTCCCAAACCAGGTGCTGAGCCTTCTGATCTTGAGGTCTGGACGCCCACGGACACGGCCGCGTGGTACCTGAAGAGCCAAGGCGGCGAACCGCGGACCGCGAACCGAATCGGCCGGATCTGACAACAACTTGACGGAGCTGTAGGGCAAGGCCCCAAAAGGAGGTCAACCCAGTTTTTTTGCGGAAACTCACCAAACATGTGAAGAATCTTATAGTATCTTATAGTAACTATTTGCTATGTTGTAGAAATCTAACTATAAATGTAGAAGCTCGATTTTGTGGACTAAATCTGGCCATTTTATGGCGAGCTGTGCAAAACGAGCAACCCTTGAAGGTTTTGGAGATCGATCCCTTGGTTTTGGAGTGAGGCATGTGGCTGAAGCCAGGGGTTGTCACCCAAAACGGCTTGCACACGGTTGGTTGAAAGGTCAAACTTTCGCCGGCTAATCATCCAAGCCGGTCAGACATGTTTTTTTTTTTTTTTTCTCGGGGAGCCCCCTGTTAAAACCGCCAGTTCGCTTGAATCTTAGTTTGTGGCAGGGTCCATTTCTTTATGTGTTTTTTTGTTTGATCTTTGGACTTTAACGCCGGTTTTCCATAGAGCCCACCAGAAGCAGTTTTGTTTTGGTTCCAGAGGGTCAAGGGCAACCAAGTCTTTCGGGCCACGCAAAGGTTGAAGCAAAACCCACAACTTGTAGACGGCTCGCGCAAGGGCGAGCGATTCGGCTGAGCTTCGTCCGAGCCAGGTGTGTCCAGACCGCTAGTGGTGACGACAGAGGCGTGGCTCGTGGCTTGTGGTGGCTTGTGGCGGTATTGGCATGCAACCAGCAGCCATCCATTTGAGGCAGCCTCGTCGGCGGGGTTCCACGCAAACTTGTATTGTAGGGCGTACGTTTCCCCCACAAGACGAGGGGAGATAGAGACCGCTTCGTGCAGGCCTCCTTCCTGGAAGACGCGACCCTGCTGAATTTGCGATGTCCGGAGTTTTTGGCGGGACTGGGTACTGGGTCCCTTACAGTGAACATCTTGAGGGGTCCTTCGCTGGTTTTCCTTTCACCAACGCTTTACTTCCCCAGAATTAGCTTCCCTTATCTTCCCTTTTTATTTTATTTTTTTGCTTTTTTGGGGTGCCCTTTGTTTTCCATACCAGGCAAGCAAATATATTCTTTTTTGCTGGGGTCCTAGTTCCAGCCAAGTTTGGTGGATATATAATTGTAAACGCTGCGCGCTTCCCCGGCTGTGACGGGCTGGTGAACTGTCACAAAGCTTGCCCCAAGCGCAAGCGTCGAGCGTCAAGTAGAGATTGTTTTCTTGTTGGTGAAATTTGGCGGGTCCCCTATGTCCCGCCCGCAAATGCACCACAGACTGATGGACGAGCGCATGGCATGGAATAGCGCCAACGCATTCTCCCAGAAGTCTAGGTTCAAGGTGGAAATGATGCATCAGGCCACACAAAAGTCATTTCCATCGCTAGTTCCCACTGGTTCTGTTAAAGTGGCGCCCACAAAACTCAGCTCAGCCTTGCGGACCCTATTAGATCATAGCCCGCGCTCAACCCACGTCACCTGACTCAACACCCATGCCCGATTTGTGCGCCGCAGCCAGCCCAAAGCAACCACGTCTACAAGAGGAAAGGCTGGGTGAATTGGGCTGCATTACAAACTTCCGTGCCTAGCTTCTCAGTTTGACTGCGCCCACTCTGCTCCCAGCCTCAGCTTCGGCACCACCTCCCGGCGCTCGAGCCCATGTTGCTTCCAGCATCTTCCAGCCCTTAACGCCCAGAGCAGCATGGTGGGAGCCAACGATCTCAGGTTCGCAAGGCAGGCTTCGAGTGCTTGGACATCCTGGGTGAGGCGAATGGACTTTGGGCGGCTTGAGCGGGGCTTTGTTTTGGGCAGCCGTGAGATGTTCAGAGGATTTCTCCAAATTGTGTTGCCCCTACTGGCTTTGTTTACAGATTGCGAAAAGGAAGACGGGCATGTGTTGGGATCTCCCATTGCGAGAAGCACCCCAAATTTCCAGCTTTGCCTGTCTTTCAAGCAGGGGGGGGCGGTTGAGGGTGGGGTTAGGGAGGATTCCATGAATTTGGAGCTTGGCAGCGCGCTGCCGCGCTTTCGATTCTGGGAAGGCCATGTGTTTGTTGACAAACTTGGGCTGACCAAGCTTTAAGCTAGGCATGGTGAACTTTCGACCAGATTTCGCTTGGGTCCCTCACAATTCACTATTAATCTTGTTAGCTTCCTTGTGGTCTCGCCTGCAGACCCAGAAACAGGGACGCGAGGGGTCCATAAATATGGCTCAAGCCAACCGCATGCTTTTAAACAGCCTCCTTTTGGTCTTTTTTCCAAAGGGGACTGGGGACAGTCTGGGGACCAACCCCTTGTGGGCTGGTTTAAATGAATCTTACCACCTGCTGAAAAGGGTTTCAAAGTGCCAACCAAATTCATTCCCGGGTAGCGTCCAAAAGGGACTTGAGAGAACCCCGGATCAACCCCATGCTATCGGGGGATAGGGGGTGTCACCCATCGGATGCCAAGGGGACACTCAAACAAACTCGTCAGTTTGTTGTCGTCCGAGGTTAACGAATCTGTCGACCTAAATTGCATCCGGGTTGGAAGCATAGGCATAGGTGTCAAATAGATGGTTGTCCTGCTGGAGAATCGATAGTGATTCCTGGTTGAACCTGGTTGTTTCAAAATCTGCCAGGGGAATGGCTGCTCAAAAGGTCCTTTTCATGGATGTCCATTGTGGTTTTCCCACTGGCAAGATGATATTTCAACCACATGGGAAAAGCTACCCATGGTCAAAACTGGGTGCCCTAAAAGGGAATATTGGTCACCCCCAGATATCTCGCGGTTTTTGTATTACACCCTGGGATTACGCTCAGAATGGTTCAACATAACACGGTTTTATCCGGAAATGTGCCTATACAAAAACTCTTAGATATCTTGCCCCGAAACAGACACCCATTCGATTCGAGCCAGGATGGGCAGGTGCTGCCAGAGCTGCAACTCCACGAGGCTGCTTCAGGCCATCGAATTCGTGGAACTCGATCAGAGCGATTTGCCTTCGGCTGGGGGCCTTCGGATCAATTTCTGCCAGTTTTGTGACGCGAGCTCCGCTGAAAAAATCACGGGCGAAAGCCATGATGAAGGTCCTTCACTTGCAGATCCCCTAATTCAGCTTTTGGAATTGTAGTAACATGTAAGATCAACCCGCGGCCGTAGGCATCTGCAAGTCTTGAAACCTGCTTGCTCAATGTTTGTTTGAGTTGGCTTTGGTCAGCCCTTTGAAACTCAACGTAGCACGTCAGTGGGGAGCACCCTCCAGGTGCTGACAGGAGTGTATTTGGGTGTGACTTTTTTGTGGGAAACCGGTTTCGATTGGTTTTAACGGGAACCAAAAGGGGAAAACCCATTATTTGGATGTGCCCCAAAAAAAGGGCACGGCCATTTGTTCTTGATTGAAGCTGGAGAGCCGTCCGCTTGGTCCTCGTAAGGGATGCCTGGTGCCCTCGTGAGCCAAAAAACTCCGCGGGGGTGGGGGTGGGGGTTGGGTGAAATCGCTTGCATCCACTCACTTCCTGAGTTCCTGGACTTTTTTATACTTTTTGTGAAGACCTAGGTACCTTAGTAGTGCCCTTTTACTCTTTTTTGGGGAGGGTTCCCCCACTAAAATAGACAACAGAAAAAAAGGGCACCCTTATTCTAACCTCTCTACTGGAGGACCTAGTTTTTGTGAAGACCATTCATTGCAGTGGCAAAATGAAGTAGAGCCTTCCGATTCGGGGAATGGGCCAAAGCCCACGGCAAGCCGTCGGTTTCTGGCAAGGATGGGCGGGATTTACCCCTTGGAACCAAGTCGAACTGGATATGTCCGTCTGGGTTAGGCTTGTCACCTACACTTCACTGGCAAACAGGATGTTTTTCAAGCAAAATCTCACAGACGTCCATCCACAGTATTGCTATAGGGCTCAGAAGCCACCTACATGTACAAACGGCAACTATGTTGTCCTTATACGGGTAGACAGACAGACAGACAGACAGACAGACAGAGACAGACAGACAGACAGACAGACAGCTAGAGAGAGAGAGAGAGAGAGCTATATCCATGCTTATATAGATATAAAATCCCCTCCCCTCAAAACTGGAATTGGGGGAGGGGGGTGACCCCCTGGAATTCCATTTGTGGTTTTCCCTATAAATGGAATTGGGAACCCCCCACCCTTCCCCTTAAGGTAGGGGGATGACAGGGCTCCTTCAAAGATGCATTTTGCCACCATTTGAGACACATATGTTTTTTCAACACCAAAATACAGAAACGGAACCCGCCATTTACAAGTTGCAATGCTCAGGTGTTTCTATTGCATCCGGATCCCTGTCAGATACTCACTTTCTGAGTTGATGGACTTTGAACTTTTTGGAAAGACCATTTTAGTGGTAAATAAAAAGTTCATTGTTTTTTTGGCCAGTCAACTTGGGAAGTGAGGATATAAACAGACCAGCCAACACGCGGGTTCGCCCTTGAGGTGAGCACCTGGACCACGCCTTGTCCCGCTTCGGCGGCGCCGACGCGGTGGCCCGAAGCCCCGGAGCTCTCGGCGGCTCGCTCGCGTTTGGGGCGCCGGAGGGGTCCTTTTTTTTTTGCGTTTGGGGTATGGGTCAAAATGAAACCACCAATCGGACCGCAGGTTTTAGTCCCTGGTTCCATTTACCTGGGTACCTGTTTTTGACCCACAGCCTTTTGGGTGCCCAAGAAAATTGAGGCGGTGGGTATCCTTTTAAAGGACCCAGAAACGTGGAGTTGAACCGGTGAAAAAGATTTGTTCACACAACCGCCCCCCCGGTTCCCTTTGAAGGCCGGGATCAGGTTTAATTACCCTCCCACCCTTTTTGCAGAAAGAGCCGTTCGGGAGACCCCCCTATCAACCAACCAGTTTCTTCATTTTGGGGTCCCATTGCCAAACAAAAAATGGTCACGTTAACATTGTTTAAGGAATATGGTCCAAACCAGGCTGGTTTAGTGGGGATTCATCACTATTGGAAAAGTACGCCCCCTTTTTGTCGTGGGATGGGTTGATAAATCTGGGGTCAACATTATATACGTGAAAAAGGGGGGGGCCTGCCTGGAAGTTGTGCTTTGCAACCTCGAAAAGGGAACACTCGAGGAGCAAACACACACGCAAACACTGTCAATCTCTCTCTCTCTCTCTCTCGCACGCACTCTCACGCATGCTGCTGAAAGCTTTGGGGTCTGGGCTTATTTCGACCTCCAAAGGCATGTTTGGAGGGGTGTCCTTTCAAAATTAGTTCCAAAAACAAAGTCTCTTTGTCCCCCATGCTCTGCAGCCCTTGTCATGTTACTTGAAAAAGGGAAACCAGAAGGAGCACAAAAGCCCTTTCGGGCGTCCCCGAAAAAGACACACCCGAAATGGATGTCAGTCTTCCTCTCTGAGTTTCCCTTTGAAAAGTGTAGCCCCAAAAAAGATCGCAACCACATACCTGTGCGCTTGGCAAACCGACACTTACTGTTGACAAGTTTTCCTCCTTCAGTCAAGGCACCAAACGTTGAAACTTGGCCCCCCCAACGGGGCGCTACGTTTGGGTCAACGTCATGCCCCATCTTTTGCCAGTACTTCTCTTCCGCTGGGGGCCGTGTTTCTTGCCTGCTACTTGATGGAATCTTCTGGGGTTAACGGGTCCCAAGCTAATTGCCCCTTGGCATACGAATCGCTCAGGTGATGGGGCCAATGAAGGACTGGGCCTTGAACGTCGTGGGTGTTCGGCCGCGACACTTTTTGGGGTTGGCCTTCACAGTGAGTGGCAAACCAATTTGTGCCTTTTCAAGGTTGGGCCCTCAGTGGTGGTTGTCCTCTTAGTCTTAGCATCTGACTAAAGCAGGTGGCATCCATCTTGGCACTGTTTCGCAGGCATTTGGAGTAACAAGTGGTTTGCGTTTCATGTGTCAACCTGATGAATCTCCTGGGTGTGAATTACAGCGACATCCTCAAAGTTACCCTCCAAGTTCGAATCTGCCGCGTCCTGAAAGTACCGCCACATGTCGACTAAGCTGGGTTTTTCACAATCAATCCTAGGCCTTATCCCGAAAGGCCTCGATGCTTTGCTTTAGCTTTGTGCAAGTACCTGGCAGTGGCAAGATGGTCGCGGCATGTCTGGAACGCAGACGATATGAAGATGACTTGTCTCAGGAAGCGTAGTGAAAAGGGCAGCGGTCGACAGGATCTCTCTCCCATCCTGATGGCCCTCATAGATACGATCCTGGACCGGGAATCCAGGAACCCGCTGCTGGTTGCAGCCTCAACGATTCAATCTTTCTTTCCCTGAACCCGACCCGAGAAGGCGGCAGGGGTCAGACTCTAAGTGTGAGGGCAGGGGGGTTGCGCGGGAGGGTTGGGTCCTAATGGTCAACGCTGCCTTTGAGACCTCTTGTAGTTTAAGGGCCCAACCACTTAGCCTGCTGGCTCAACGTTGGGAAATATAATTGATGGGCTCTGACTAAAATGATGAGGGTAGAAAGCTTGTTGAATTTGAAGCAATAATCTTTCATATACAGAGTACAAGGTTGTACGTATCTAATCTAGTTATGTATGCACACATGTACATATGACCGTTGGACTCTGTGAAGCGCGGGAAGCTTCAAAATTGTTTTCAAAGCCGACGTTCAATTCGCTTCAATACCAGTCAAACCCTGTGTAAGCTTGTGACAAACACATGCCAGGCCCAGCACGAACCTCTGGATAGGTCAGGTACCACTACACCCCTGCCAAAGAACACAAAGCTCAAACATGTACTCGGTACTTAAGATATACTTAAAACTGGGAGGGAATTCGTACTCAGCTTTCTATAACTACATTATTCCACCTCATGATGCCGCCTTGCGACGCTCATTCACTTCATGAAACTGTTCCATTCATTCATTCATTAATTCATTCATTCATTCATTCATTCATTCATTCATTCATTCATTCATTTGTTCGTTCATTCATTCATTCATTCGTTCGTTCGTTCGTTTGTTCATTCATTCATTCATTCATTCATTCATTCATTCATTCATTCATTCATTCATTCATTCATTCATTCATTCATTCAGTCATGCATTCCCTTATTAATTCATTCATGCATGTATGCATTAGTTCATGCATGCATGCATGCATTCATTCATTCATTCATTCATTCATTCATTCATTCATGCATTCATTCATTCATTCATTCATTCATTCATTCATGCATGCATGCATGCATGCATGCATGCATGCATGCCCCCATGAATTCCTACATTCATTCATGCTTTCATTCATTCATGCTTGCATGCATGCCCAGCATTTGTGAAATCATGCATTCACACATTCATCCATGCATTCATGCATTCATGCATTCATGCATTCATTCGTTCATTCATTCCCGCATGCGGCATTCCTTCATTCACTTATGCATTGATGCGTTCATTCATTCATGCTTGCATCCATGCATCATCCATGCATGCGTGCATGGGTTCTTTCCGGCATTTGTGCCATCATGCATGCATGCACTAATCTATGCATTCATGCATAAATCAATGCATTGATTTATCTATTTGGCTGTTTGTTCCTTGATGGATTCATTCATTATATATTTCTTTCTTTCTATATGTTTCATGTTATTGTTTCTTTCGTTCATTTGTTCATTCATTCATTTACTTTATCCCTTTATCCATTTCTCCATTTCTCTTTGCATCCTTCAATAGGTTATTCATTTATTCATTCCTTCATTCATTCAGTCATTCATTCATTCACTCAGTCAGTCAGTCAGTCATTCAGTCATTATTTCATTCATTCATTCATTCATTCATTCATTCATTCATTCATTCATTCATTCATTCATTCATTCATTCATTCATTCATGTCACTTCACGTCACGTCACGCCACGTCACGTCACGTCACGTCACGTCACGACATGTCATGTCATGTCATGTCATTCATTCATACATACATACATACATTAGTCCATTTGTTGGATTATCCATTCATATCCATTCGCAGCTGTGGCAGTTTCTCTATGTGACTGCTATTGCATATGCTTCGTTTAGAATTTTATCGAACGCGTGGTTTTCCACAGGATAGCCACCAAGTTGTAATTTGGCGGATACTTTTTTGTGGCATTCGGGTTAGGTGTGTTGCTGCCCTGCGGTGGTGAAGAGGAAGATGCGGATCGTGAGGCGGGGAATGGGTTGGAACGTGGCGTCGATGTGCATGGATCTGCAAGAAATCTTTGGAAGGAGGGCGCCAATTTCCCAAACATTCTCCCTTCATTCGGGATACAAAGGAAAACTGTGGGGGTGGGTCTTGAAAAAGGGGAAGGCCCAAATTGGGTTATTTCCCCTCGAATCCCCTTTGAAACCGCCACAAAAAGGTTTTGAAGGAAAGGACAAATGTGCGTGTGTGTGTTTTTGACGGGGAAACGCCCCAGGAACCAAAAGCAATTTCAGCCTCTTGGCAAAGGGCAGTCGGATATTGCAGGATTCAGTTTGGATGTTGCTTTTGTGCATCGGCTCCTGGGGGATCAGCAAGGAGTCCTAAGTACGGGAAAACCATCAGATATCCCGACCGTTTGCTGGAAATCGGCACGTGTGGGGGGGGGGGGGGGCATTTTGTGCCCGGACTCCTTGCTCCCTTCCATCCAGGGTTTTGCCCGGATTGCACTTGGAAGGACCTGTCAAACCACCATAACATATAGTAATATATTTTTGCCATACCACCATAGCCAGCACAACACATACGATACCCAGACCAAACTGTACCCTTCCTCATGGCACGAATGGTCCCTGGCAAGCGGTTTCCACAAGACCGTGACATTCCCATCTTCAGTGTGGAGCTTCAGTGAAGAGGTTTTGTCCCCACCCTGAGGCTCCTTCATGTCCTTTTTTGGTTCCTAGTCCCATCTAGTGCCTCCGCAGAAATGGCTCCCCTTGTGATTTTGCTCAAAACAGTCTGGAGAAGGCTTGAGACTCCAATGGTTAGCGGCTCGGGGTTGCCCACGTGCCATAGATGCTCGGCGATCCCCCACTTGAGTTTGAGGCTGAGTCAGGAGCTGAGTTTTTCTCTGAGTTATTTCTGAGTTTTGTTTGAGTTGCTTTCTTTTTGTGTTTTCTTGGGGGAAAGCTGCAGGTTTCCTTCCCAACCAATCCCCTCAGAAAAAAAGAAAAAGAAAAGAAACTAAACACTCGAACAAACTCAACAAAACACAACAACAACTCAAACAAAACTCAGAAACAACTCAGAATAACTCAGAAACACAGCTCCTGACTCAGCCTCAAACTCAAGTCGAGGGATCGAGTTCAAGGCTGAGTTTTTCCGAGTGTTTTCCTGAGTCTTCCCAGGTTGAAAGTTTTCCCAAATTCCTGGATTTGCGGCCTGTGTGGGCGAGATCAAGTCTTCCTAAAAGGTGGCCGGGCAACATATGCCCAAGTCCTAAGTCTCGCGTTAGGAGCAGAATCGCGCACTGCTCATGCCCCAATCACAGGCCCCAGGATTCTCTCTGTGTTTCTTTGATTAGGAAAAAAAACAAGGAAACACAAAACAGAAAACAAGGTGTTGTATGGAGTCCCACAATGTTTCCGGGGGACTTCATCCCCTGTTTTCCCGATCTGGGTGAGTCCTTTTTTGGGGGAGGGTTCCCCTACTAAAATAGACTACAAAAAAAGGGTACCCTTATTCCAGCCTCTCTACTGGAGGACCTAGTAAATACACATGTTTGCTTTTCCCTTGTTAGTTTCCATGGGAATCTATCACTACTGGAATGCAAATGCATCCGATTCGAATGGTGTCGCTTGGATCGTGAGGAACTCCATTGCCTGCCAGACGCTGATGAAATCTGAGATCCGCGAGGCGGGGTGGCAAGTTTTGGCTGTCCATAATAATATGTTTTTTTTTTTTAAAAAAAAAAAAAAAAGAAGGGGACCGTCCAAACCCATGCCAGCCAGTACTGCTACCGTTGGGGACCCCAATTCCCCGCAGAAACCACGGGGCATCTCAATTGCGAGGAAGCGATTTGCCATGATGTATGTTGGATCACCCTAAATCGTCTTTAACAAATGGAATCTAAGATGAGACACACACACACAACTGTCCGTTGGTGCTTACCGTGGGCGGAACAACTCGTGGCCTCCTGGCAGGACTTCGTAGATGCCTTTTGGCCCTCACGACTTCAGCCGTGCGCCTAGCAAACTGAGTCGAGTCATTCTCTATTAGGAACCGTGTTGGGCAGTTCCTTTGACTATGTGGAAGCTCTAGTGTCACTTTAGCGCGGGGCCTGCCAATACTGGGTGTTCAGCCATTTCCAACCCACATATTTGTCACAGAGCCGGAACCTCCGAACATGTTTTGCTATCAGCCCCTGAGGTCCTTAATTTCGGCGCGACGTGCCGATTGGCCAATTGGGAAAGCCCCCCCTAAAAAAGAAACTAGTGCGGCGCTGCCTTGTCAACCATGGAGCTTCGCAGAAGCTGCCACCCTCACTCCAAGCCTTTGGCTGCAACCTGGTGGAGGTTTCTTTCATGCGGTTCCCTTGGTCTGCAAATTGATATAATATAGGGTTGTCCTTTTGCTGAGGGGTCAAAATTGGGGCAACCCTGGCTGCACAATCCACAACCCCGAAAACAGGGTGTTTGGGGATGGGGTCCCGGTCCCGGGTCCCTATCCATCAAGGCCCTCTTTGGAGAAAAATGGAACATTTGTGTAACCAGGGGGGCTCTCGCGACTTTCAGTTAGGGGTCGGAATTTTTATATGGGTCAAAATCGGGACCCTCCCGGGATGGTGGTGTTCCTTGTGGCGTCCCGTTGGCCCGTGTTTTTTTGGTTCCACGCAAAATAGGGGCCAGTACGACGTTCCTTTCTGGCCAAAGAATGCTTCACAGTTGTTGGCATTTACGCACGTCGGTCTTTTCGTTTAGATGCCTTCAGTGGGTGGCTGCAAAAAGCACAAGTTGTTTGCTGCCAAAGAAAGATACCAAGGGTTGGAAAGAAGGATACCCTCAAATAGACAAATACCAAGGGTTGCAAAGAACCCTCAAAACAGAAAGATACCAAGGGTTGGAAAGAGCCCTTTTAAATAAAGACACTCGGCTCGTTAGGACGGCCGCCCTCTTCGATTCTCAGAAGCTGGCAGTGGCGGAGACCATCCTCGTGGGCAGGAGTTCTTTTTGTCTCAAACTCGGGCAGCCCTCAACACAGGGCCGTTTGCTTTGGTGGTGCTTTAACACGACCCCCCCCAAAAAAACAAACAACTCAGGCGATATCCCCAACAGCATGCGGTGCTCTTTTTAGTGCTCGCACCACCCCGCAGCCCTCGCAGAGCCTCGTGGAACCCTGGTGGAAGCCTGGTGGAACCCTCGTGGAACCCTACCTCAGGGCTTGGGGAATAACATCCCCCAACCATATTGGGCATGCGGATGTGAAACGAGTCTTCGCGCCAAAAGGTTGGGTGATGTTCCATAAGGCCAGGTGATCTTTCCAGGCAAAACCAAGACTAAACTCAGCCACCCACCCCCCAAACTGGGGAGAGCTCACATGTGCAAAGGGAGCAAATGCATTGCCATGCACACTTGCCCAAGCGCAGCAGCATGAAAGATGGCTGCCTAGGGCGGATTGCTTGCTAGGAGCTTCGAGAAAACTGTCAGGCCGGGATTGGTGGGGCGCTTTCTGTGATCCACGGCGATCCCCTTGTGACAACTTCTGGGCTTGGGATGGCCCATGTGGGCTGCGGCTTCGCTTTTCTTCCCCTCCGTCGGCGAGCCGCGCGGTCTTCAAAGTTCAAAGCCTACCTTTCAACGTGTTCCGTTTTGGCCCCTCAGCTGAGGTCCCAAAAGAGCCGCGATCTTGGGACGCCTCCACGCGTACCTCCTTGATGATGGATTTGGGCTGATTATTTGGCAGTTTGATCGCCCTTTGGCCGGGTTTCCGAACTCAACGGGGAAAGGAATGATGAGTTTGACATCACCGAATGTGCGAGGACATTTCTACCCTGGAGATCATGTTTTTTTTCTTGGGAAGACTGAACAAATGGAAGTGGCCGAGACCCTCCCACCGCTCCAAGTTGCCGAGCTCTTGTGGGGGCTTGCGCTTCTCATTCGGAAGAATCCGTGTCATGTGGCTAGCATACAGGAAGCCAACATCTTAAGCCGGAATTGGTTTGCTACTAACGTGGGGGGCCGGGTTTTGAAGGTGGGTTCATTTTTCGAGGAAAATTGTCTTGCAGCACCCCCGCGGGTCAGGAAAATGAAGAATGATTCATAATGATTCCTCACTATGGTTCTCACGCAAAGACAGATGCTCTCGCGACGGGATTTCCTTCAGCCGCAGAACTCAGGCAGCGCCAAGGGCACCGCTTAACGAATTTGTGCAATGATGCAAAGTCACTGCCCAAGTTCTATTGCAGCTTTCAACATATTTAAGACATTTTAAGACAACGTTTCTGAACCTCACATGAAGAGTTCGCGAACTTTCGGGTCCAAAAACTTAGGGAGTGAGGACAACCCCCAGAAAAAGACAGTTTTTCTAGCTTCCCCTAAAATCGTTCGTAACCCCAGGCAGGCTGTTGACCTCACGTCGTCGCCGCCAGGCCGGCCTACAGATCTGGTATGCGCTGCCTGCTTGTCCTAGATGCTTGGATCTGGCCACCCCCCACCACCACAATCCCTCAAAGAAAATGAAGGTCTTGGCGCCAGGAGCAGTGAACACCCTGACGGGAAGCTGCAAGGGACGGCCAGCTGTAGCGTACTGATTGTCTTGGAGCTTCAAGGAACGTGTGTGCGCAAAGCCATCAAGCAGAAAAGCAATGTGACCAGGCAGGTGCCTTTCCCTGCCTGGCCTCATATGGGTAAAGCCCGTATAAGCCGTTGCAACCATCTTAGAAACAAAAGTCAGTTGGTGTTGGCCGCTGATGTGTAACACCCTGGATACAAACAAACACCTGTGGGCGTTTGTTGGTAGCATTGGGTTCCATACTGCCCCCTCTGAACTGCTAAACTGCAGTTCAGGGCAGCT